CAGGCTGTGTGTGCTCAGTCTCCTGAAGCCCCGCCCTCAGGCTGTACGTCACTATCGGTCCCCTGAAGCCCCGCCCCCAGGCTGTACATCACAATCTGGCCCCTGAAGCCCCGCCCCCAGGCTGTGTGTTATCAGGCCCCTGAAGCAAGCCCCGCCGGCTGTGTGTTATCAGGCTCCTGAAGCCCCGCCCCCAGGCTGTGCGTCTCTAAAGGACATCCAAACCCCGCCCCCACGCCTTGCACGCAGTATGAGCTCTCATTGGTCGGTCGCCGTCGCCTCCGCACTGCCTTCTGGGTAACGTAGTTCCCTCGCCGTGCCCTGCGCTGTCTTAGAAGCCGGTCATTCCTGACCGTGAATACCGGCCAAGTGGCGAAGGGAGGGGCGCTGGGGAACCGAGTTCCAGGGCCCGAACGGGGCCGGGCTTCGCTGGCTCTGGAAGCGGCCCCGCTCAGGCTTCCTCGGCGTGGGGTCCAGGGACTCGCAGAGACTGTTCAGGGATGGGGGGCGGGGGTAGCGGCCGGTTCCCGAAGGCTGCGCTCGGGAAGGGGCAGCCCCCTCATCGCTGTCGGCCACCGAGTTGTCAGAGGCACACTGATGCTGTACAGCTTTCGGAGCGCCAAGAGGCTTGTCGGGGACGATAAGACACGCCCCCAGGCAGGGCTATGATGGGGGTCGGGGTGACAGGGCCCCCGAAAGGGTCAGGATGTCCCTGTGCCTCTGGCTGCCACAGGAAACATCTGTCCCGCCTGTGTGGCTAGTGATGGTGTACCAATATAGGGAGCCACATTTTAAAAATTAACGGAGTACATTTTATTTTTCCAGTTGCTCTTTTTATTTTTAATATATATATATTTTTATTCATCTCAGAGAAGAAGGGAAAGGGAGAGAGAGAGAGAAACATCAATGATGAGAGAGAGCCATCGATTGGCTGCCTCCTGCACACCCCACACTAGGGATCAAGCCCGCAACCGGGCATATGCCCTGACCGGGAATCGAACCGGTGACCTCTTGGTTCCTGGGTTGAGGCTCAACCGATGAGCCACACCCGGCTGGACCAGGGAGCCACATTTTAATGCAGATCTTCATCGCTCCACGTCTCAGGCATTTCCCACTTAGGAATCTGAAAGCTCTCCGCGAGGGACTTCTCTCTCCTGTGTGGGCAGCCTGTGCTTTCTGACAACTTGCGCGCGTGGGCAAAGGGAGCATCTTACCTCCGTGCTGCAGGTTTGGGTGTCTGATCCGCCTCCTGCCTGGGAAGTGGCTCATCGTTGCATCTGTAATTGTAGCGACAATGTCTGCCAGGGCGTTGAGGTTCTCTCTGGGAAAACACTTATGAAGTGGGTATTACTCGATGTTAATAATAATGATTTGGTTGTTTTCCGAGGAAAGTGACAGAAATGGTTCTAGAGCAGTGGTTCTCAACCTGTGGGTCGCGACCCCTTTGGCGGTCGAATGACCCTTTCACAGGGGTCGCCTAAGACCATCCTGCAGATCAGATATTTACATGACGATTCATCACAGTAGCAACATGAGTTATGAAGTAGCAACGAATATAATTTTATGGTTGGTTCACAACATGAGGAACTGTATTTAAAGGGCCAGAAGGTTGAGAACGACTGTTCTAGAGGAATATGTGACAAGTTGGAGGGGAAAAAATAGGATTTCAGGGCCCGCTGAGTGAGAGGCACTGAGTGTGAAAAGTCAGAGAATGACACTGAGACTGTGGCTTGCTGAAACCTTGGCCACACTCAGGGGGTTGTCTCCAAATGTGAAGGATATGTGACAAGTTGGAGGGAAAAAAATAGTTAGGATTTCAGGGCCCATTGAGTGAGAGGCACTGAGTGTGAAAAGTCAGAGAATGACACTCAGACTGTGGCTTGCTGAAACCTTGGCCACACTCAGGGGTTTGTCTCCAAATGTGATTATCCTATATAACAAAAGGCTAATATGCAAATCAACTGAAGGGTGGAATGACTGGTCGCTATGATGCGCACTGACCACCGGGGGCAGACGTTCAGCGCAGGAGCTGCCCCCTGGTGGTCAGTGTGCTCCCACAGGGGGAGCGCTGCTCAGCCAGAAGCTGGGCTCACGGTTGGCGAGCCTCTCCCGCCTCAGTGGCAGCGCTAAGGATGTCCAACTGCTGGCTTAGGCCAGCTCCCCATAGGGAATGGACATCCCTCGAGGGCTCCTGGACTGCGAGAGGGCGCAGATGGGGCTGAGGGAGCCCTTCTCCCCTGCTGAGTGCATGAATCTCGTGCACCAGGCCTCTAGTTTTTAATACTTCTAAAATATTGCACATTAACAGCTTGGAGGGAAAGGTAAAAACGATATTTAAAAAGTTGGAAGAAGGTAAAAAAGAATAGGTAAAAAAGAATATTTTACTGATCTACAAATATTCAACGAGCACTTAGGGTTTCAGGCACAACAGTAGTGCATGGCCCACACCAGGCACAGGGCTGCCTGTACTGACACTGTCAGGATGCCCTCAATACCCTGTGTTTGGTTTTTTACAATACATTACAAGAAGTCAGAAGTTAGAGCTATTATTTTTTCTCTCCCTGCAACTGGCAATTAAATCGCTTAGTGGCAACACCAGCTCAAAACCTCATCTGCACAAAGAGCCGTGGGGATGTGCCTTATGGGCTGTCTCTCCTGCGGGTGGGGCTGAGGAAGAGCAAAAGCGGGGACTAAGGAAGTGCTTGCTTTTCATACCCAGGAAAGGAAAAGCCTGTTTTCTGGCCCAATTCCATAGTTGTGAATAAGAAACCAAGATGAGAGGTAACTTCGGATGACCTCTGAAAGCCAGCAGCAGCCACAGCCTCATTCCGGTAACTCGGCTTCTGAAAATCAGCACATCTTTGATAGTCACGAACTTCTAAAATCCAGCCAATGAGCGCTCAGGCCCCAACAGACAGCCAATCAGTGACAGCCCAGGATCCTAGGCCAAACCACATGCTGCCAAATATCCTCCAGGTAAAAGGAGAAATGACAAGGGGAACTTTAAAAAGCATAAATATTCTGGACTAGATGAAAATAAAAATGGTACCTGCAGCCCCTGCTGTCCTTCAGTGGGTGGATGGATGAACTGTGCACATTCGTGCAATGGAATTTATTCAGGGGTAACACACACAGATACTCACAGCAGCTTTATTGGTAACAGCCCAAAACTGGAAGCAACCAAATATCCACTAGCAGCTGAGTGGACAGAAAGCAACCGCAGTCTCTCCATACAACGGAACAGCACCCAACAATACAGCTGAATAAGCCACTGGTGCATGTAACAGGATGGGTTAGTCTGAAAACAATTATGATCAATGGAAAAAGCCAGAGCCCCGCTCCCCACGGAGCATAAAAATCTAGAAAACGCTTGCTGCTGTTTGCATATCGTGGGGAAGGGGTTTGAAAGGACGGGGAGGAAGGGCCCTAACGGAGCCCCTTGTGCTTTGCTGGGCACGCTCACTGTCGTGACTCCCGTCATGGCTCCTCAGGCGTGTCACACTCCTCGTATGTGCAGTCTTTCCATGTCAATCACACGTCGATAGAAAACACACGTATTCGCCCTCCCTCTTGCCAGGTCACATCTGCCAGCTATTCTGGTGCTACCATATCCCTGGCCCCATGATTTAAAGGGGGAGCCCTGAAGCGAGGAATGAGTCCATTCATGTCCAGGTCACACACAGGCATACGGTGCCCTTTTGTCAGCTCCGACACGGGCATTGTAGACGACCCCTTTATAACAGACACACAACCTCTCGTTTCCAGTCAGCCCGGCGCCGTGGTCTAAGCATCGCTACACAAGCATGACTCGCACCTTGCCCTGCAGGCCTTCCAGGCGCTGACACCTGCCCAGGTTCCTGAACACCGGGGACTGGCTCCCGCAGATCCAGGGGACAGAAGGCCCCCAAACGTGCCGGGGAGGATGGGGCGTCTCCTACGAAAAAGGGACCCAACTCACGGCACTTCCAGAAGCACTGGCGGTTTCTCAGCATGAACTCTGGCCTCCAGAGAGCCTGGACGTCCAGGCCGCAGGATCAGGCACACACACGACCGTCTCAGTCATTTCCCCGCAAGCCTCAGACAGTAATGCAGACCAGGCCCAACTGGACTGAGGTCTGTCCTCTGCCCTCCTGCTGTCCCTTCTCAGGCACATGAAGTTGGTGCCAACAAAGGTGTTCCTCCCTCGTGTTGGCAGAACCCAGGCTCCTCTCAATCGATGTCCCACCGGGAGCAGGCCCTCCCGGAGTCGGAGTCGCCATGACGCCCCGCAGGCCTGCACCGCCGGGGACCGGAGCTGCGGGCAGCAGTTCCACTGGTGGGGGATTGGAAGAGGACCAATGCCTTAGCGTCCAGGCTGCTTGAAGGAAGCCTGTGTGGGAATGCCCAGCAGACTCCCGCTCAGATCCTGTGGCCAGAGCTCGACCACGTCCTCTCAGAACCCGTCAGGGGAAGTGAGGACCTTCCATGGCTCGGAACCCGCGGATCCCCGCCAGGGAATGAGGGCGTGTGCAGGGGTCTGCCTTCCCTGAGCTACTGGAGCGACTGACACGCAGGGGGACCGACAGCTGGAGGCAGCGATGGCTTCTGCCAAAGGCACTGGCACTGACAAAACCGTCAAGAGCTCTAGACAGCTCGGAAAGTGCAGCGTCGCTCATGGAGACGCCCAGCTCACGGTGCTCAGGGGAGTGTCCCAGGTGGGCGCACGCCATATGAGGCTCGCCTGCAGGCCGTGCAACCTGGGTGCCAGGTGCTCACAGAGCTCCCTCCGGTGTGAGGCTGAGGACGAACACGGAGAGGCTCATACCCCGCATTCACAGGCCCTTCTCCAGTGTGAGCCTCCCGGGGCTACACCAGTCTCAGCGATGCGGCCAAAGGGCCCCCAAAACTGCCGCGGTCGTGAGGTCTCGCGCCAGCGTGAACCTTCTGGTGCCGAGCCAGGTGGGAGCTCCTGCTGTAGGCTTTCCCGCACTCGCCACACACGTAAGGCTTTTCTCCAGTGTGAACCCGCTGGTGCAGGATGAGGCTGGAGTTGCGGCTGAAGAACTTCCCACACTCGCCGCACGCGTACGGCCTCGCTCCCGTGTGTGCCTTCTGGTGCTGGACCAGGTGGGAGCTGCTGATGTAGGCTTTGCCGCACTCGCCGCACACGTACGGCCGCG